AAAAAATCATTCTATCGGCATTGAATTGAAGATAGATAAAATAATGTATTGCACTAGTAAAATATTGAGGAGGTGAACATGTTATGAGTCTCTTTTATGATCGCTTGTACCTAACTTAATAATCACGGCAGAGTCCACAGAAAATACTACTACTATATACCACTAATTCATATTCATGGCTTGTCCGTTTCATTCCGATGCATGAAGATTTTGCTGTTTTGACATTTAGCCCTCATTTATATACCGCCATTACTCCTTAGTTAATGTAACTCTATTGACTTGTCATCTTGAAAATTGCCCCACCCTATATTTTCACATGGACGATCTTTTTATTATTCTCATCATACGGTTCAATGAATTTACAGTATGGATGAGTTCAAGGACAATACAAATTTTTTAAATCACAAATTATACATCGAGACGACTTTGGCACATAAAATAATAATAAATGTCCCCAATATAATAAATATATATATAATTGTTGGTTAAAAAAATATGACATATTTTCATTTTTTTCGCTCTTTTTTGCAATTTACCTAAATGAAGTAATTATATTTTTTTTATTTGTTTTATAGCATAATTGCTACTACAAACTAATTATAAAACCACATCAAATGATATCCTATTATTAAAATATTTTTTGCAAATTATTTATTTATTTTTATTCTTTTATTTTCGGCTCATTAAACCAGTTCTTTTATTTATTAAATTTGTTAATTATTTTTATGGCATAACCAAATCAAATAAAACTTCATAACAAATACTATAATAATTGTTATACATAAGAGGGTACATCTACTCTGGATCGGCCCATTAAACTAAGACGAATGAAGATCAGGCCTGCTGATAATTGTGCCCAACCGTGAGAAAGAAAAGCCCAATAAACTCCGTTGGTTCGGAATTGGAACTGCCGGTTCAAAATTTGTAAGTGCTTTAACCAAAACCGACACGGGTAAAACCAGGGACCGATTCAAGGCTCGTGGTCAACGCCCGACCTGTGGCCATGTCTACTAGCTGCATATTAATTCAAGATCTTGACAATCTAGATACTAAAAAAAATACTCCATTGCGATGGAAAATCCAATAGTAAAATATTACACTAAAAAATCCAATGGTTATTATTCTTATGGTGAAGCTTTCATTAGAAAATTTCAACGGAGATCAACACCAAAAAATTTAGTTGAAGTTAAATTTTCTTTCAAATTTTAGTTGGAATTTGATGGTTCCAACAATCATTTTTCAACGGTTTATTGTTACGGAAATTTTGTTGAAATTTCGTTTAAGTCATATTTCAGTGATTGAAAAAACTACCGTTTGAATTGTAGATATCCAACAAAAATTTCAATAGAAAATAATTCCAACAGAATATTTTTATTAAAATTCAATATAAAATTCCAATATAAAATTAACATCACTGGAATATCATTAGAATTCTCCTGTCGAAATAAATTTTTGTATGAATTTTCCTGCTGTAATTTATCAATTTTTTGCTCTTGTACCAAGACAACTGAGATTGAATATTCGTAGGGTAGGGGATATATTCACTAAAAAAAAATTTTTATATTTCAACGGAAAATCCTACGGTAATATATTCCAATGGAAATTCCAACGGAAATTCCAATGAAAATATTGTTAGATGGAATTTGATGATTCCAACGGTTTTTTACCGTAGGAATTTCCGTTGTAATTTTTATTTCCATCTCCGTTGGGAAATCTACCGTTGGAATCGCTAAAATCTAACGGAAATTCTATTGGAAAACTCATTCCAACGGAATATTTTTGTTGGAATTTTCGTTGGAATTCCATTACAATGTATTTGTAATGTAATTTTCCGTTGGAATTTTATCATTTTGTTGTAGTGAATAAACAAAAAATTTGTAAAATTACTAGGAAATATAAATAAAAAAAAAAGTATATATTTATACATCATTTATATATCAATCAGACCAGACACATAATAATTAATTAATAAACTAGTCATTTGGTTC